CCTTATATAAATGCACTGCTGCTACTACTGCTACCAAGGGATTTATGAGATATTCCTTTGAGTTAAAGCAGAGTGGATTTAAATCACTCGACAATAAGAATAAAATATGCTAATATTGTATTGAAGAGACTTTTTCCTTCATCTTAGAATTATTAAATGTATTCTGAGCACCTGAGGCTCAGGTTGAGCTGACGGCTCTACCACCTGCCCAGGAACACAGTCACCTGCAAAGAGATTAAATGAAGCATAAAGACAGCCATTCATTTTATAGCTAAATAATTGATGTATTCAAGTGTCTTATTGCATTTGTATTGTGTTTATGTTTTATATTTGAAGAATTTCCTCTTGCAGGAAAATAAAGAACTGAACTGTTTCGTGAAGAGTGATCTCTCTCTCTCCATGTACCTTCATTGCTCATTTACATATGGCCTTAATTTTTCACATTTAAAGGTTAGTGCAATAAGCGGTAATCTGCGTCTCTGTGTTGTACCTTTGTTTTGCTTAATGATAATAGTGTCATCACTCATTCCCTGTTGTCTGACCAGTGTTTTGAAGTCGTCCAGCACAGTGGCTCTCACGGTCATAGTTCGACCTGAAGAGGACAGAGTCATTTAGACCAAACAGATGTAAACTAAAACCTAAACATAGTATGTAGGGTTTGAGGTATAATGAGGTGTTCAGACTCACCTCATGATCACTTGGCACTTCATAAAAAATTATTTATTCAGTTTGATTTAAATGAATCCGTGACCAATACGATGGTCTATCGTAACATAAACGTGGGGGGAAATCCTACTACTTGAATTAAATAAATTTAATATAATATCAAAGTTCAACTAAAAAGCAGATTTTTTTAATTACACAGGCTACTGAAACAAACAAAATATGGTTGTTATGTTTACTTTTTTGGTTTATTCAACAGAATCTGAAAATCTGAAATGAAGCTCAAAACTCACATAGAAAACATCACTCAACCAATGTTTTGCTCTTTCAACGAGCAAAATATGACAATAAATAAAAATCTGAATAAATTGGATACTGTTCCAGTGCATCTATAGAAAGTGTTTACTCACTGTAAAGCTTAAGTGAGGTGCTCTTCTCCCCTTGTGATTTCTGTTTGCTCATAATCACTATCGCATACTCGTTGTAGTTCGTGTGAACCACATAGGCATCCACGTCTGCCCTCCACCCTGTGGAAAGGACAGGGAGAGAGATAATAAAACATTCATGGACGACATAAACTGAAAAGAGAGCTGTGTCACTGTAAGATTATACAGAGGGAGATAAAAAGAGAAAGAGAGACGTACTTGCAATATGGTAGGAGAATCGTCCTGGTGTGGTGGTCAGCTCATAGTCCCCAGACATCTCCTTACATGTTCCATGTCTGCACGTACACAGAAGAAATTACGTAGTAGTGGAACAAACCATGTGTGACAGGTTGTATCTGTGTGTTCACATGTACTGCAGCAGGCACTTAATTTGATTGGGTTTTAGTTAAGTGAAAGTAGCAATACCTTTATACCTGAGTAAAAATACTTAAAATATACTTAAAGTACCAACAGTGCAGGTATTACGTGGGTGGATTATAAATAGTAATGTATTCATGTTTAAGCGCTAACGTTGCAGCTGTTAAAGGTGGAGCTCATTCTAAACAATGTATACACTGTCAGGTAGCTTTATCTATAACATTCGTTCATAATTTATTAGTTCGTTATATTTTGCGTTACAGTTTTTTTTCAGTTGCTAACCTGCACTGGTCAAAACTGAAATCACATTGTCAAAACTCTTCACACAGTCAGCTAAACAGAAGTGTATGTGGGCCAAACTGTAAATCGTTGTTCATTGCTTTCACACAAAATGCATTCAATGACCACTTTCTCCAAAATCCATGAACTCTTTTCCCATTACTACTTCACCACCTGCAAAACACTGTATATCTGCAGCACAACACACTTTGTGCACAACTGTTAAAAACACATTCAAAACAGAATCCTGCATTTCTGGAGTAATCAGACTAAAATATATAGCAGAATAGCAGCGAACATTTTATGCTTACGTCTATCTGCATAGAGGAATGTGTGTAGTGTTTTGAATGTGGATTTATTGTAAAACTCCAAGCTGCGTGTAAAGCAGGAATGTGCTTGTATTTTAGCAGAATTGGTTCAGGGTGTTAGTACATCAATTACAGGCTGTGGTCACTGGGTCTCAGGTCCCAGTGTTAACTATGTAAACAACTGAAAAAAAGTGTATTGCAGAAGTTTGTTGATTAAATATTCATGCCCCCCCTCCCGATATCTTAGTAACTGAATAAATATTTATAATTGATGAGAAAGTATTTATAACTTTTATAAAGATGTATTTTGATAGATATTTGTGCTTTGGTGTGTTTGTGTGTCAAAATATGATGCATGCACTTCTTACAAACCTGAGTACAGTTCGAGTCATCTTGAGTTTGCCTTCAGTGGTGCCTCTCTGCAGTATCAGTTTACCGATGGCTGCATCTCCCCTGTGACTTTGAATATGGCGACATGTACTTGCCACGGCAACGTCATACCATGTTCCTAGAAACTGTCACAAAGAGATCCCATAATATTTACATTTTACTAACATTAATACACACAAAACCTATAATAGAAGTACATATTACTGTTGTTTCAGTATGCCAGGCTAACAACATACCTTTTCAGTCCATAATGAAAAATTTAAATATTGTAAAAATAATTTGTTCAGGACTGCTACTATCAGTAATGCATATGGTTCATTATAGTCTTCCTAATGGAAACCATCTTGAGGTATTGTTAGATTAGATTAGAGCAACAATATCAGTCAAAATATTCCAAGATTTTGAATCTTTTAATACCATATTTGTTGACATCAAGGCCTTTTAAGAGCTCACTAGAATATATTTCACAATTAAAAAGCATCTTGCCATTGCTGTGGCACAAAATCTTACTTCACCCAGACAGTGTTAAACTTACTAATGTGTATTTAATGTACTTGTCTTTTCGTGTATTACTAACCTCAAGCTCCCTTAACATTTTTAACATTTAATGCGTGAACATCCTAAGGTGCCCTAGGTGTCATTTACACTGGGGATGCTGGGGACATGTCCCCACCACTTTTTGAAATGGCTGATTTTGTGCCCACCACTCTTTTAAAACATAATTATTATATATATATATACATAATATACATATATACATAATTGCAGTTAAATAACAAATGAAAATGCCTAAGCTAAAAAAAAACAAGCTACGGATTATAAAATGATCCAAAAACATAAATGCACCAATCAGTAACTTTAATAACTTCTTGACACAGTTTCTTTTTGGCCAAGTATTCAGTTCTCTCCCTTTGAACATGACAAAAGAGGAGTGAAGACTAAATGATGCCTTCATACGTGTTGCCTCAGCAGGGCTGATATTACATGAGAAAAGTTGATCTACAGGAGAAACAGATCTGAAAGCAACACAGAGTGACTGAAAGCTGTACTGCAGTATATTCTGTTTTATTTACATATTTTGAAATGTCACCAGCCACCAGAATTTTGTGTTTTCTTTTACATAAATAAAAACATTTCCTCCATAAATTGGTGCAGGAAATGAAGCGTTTAAATATCAAAATTTCCTGGGGGAGGTCCCCCCCAGACCTTCCACTCGTATATCTCAGCATTGAGGCTATCTTTAAAACACTTTTTAAGGATCTTTTTGTCTCGTGAACCTAACATTACATATCGTGATGTCTCTTCACACCCCTAATCTGAGCCCCTATGTCCCCACCACTATTCAACACAAAGTGATGCCCTCGTAAGAGGCTTTATCCTATATTCAATATATGTATTTTTTTTGTCATTAACATATGAAGTGCATTTCTGCACCTCTGGCTTTTACCTTTTCATACTGAGTGTATAAATTTAAAACAACAGAATATTATACATAAACGAGGAGAAATAACATGCAAGACTGCAGAACTCATTCACCTGGGCCAGATCAAAGTTCTCCTGCGTGGAGTAGAGAGGATCTGGGAGTACAGGGAGCCCCTGGAGGGTCCAGGTCCAACCCAGGACCAGCAAGGAAACCAGAATCACTGCTTTCTGCATCCTATCTGCCTGTCTGTCCACCAGTCTCTGGGAGGACTGAAGTCTGAGACAGTGAATCCCAGGAAAAGACCTCTCAACTCTTCAAAGCGGGACAGGGCATTGACCTGTGTTTTGTGTGCAATAGCCCCGGCATTATGCTCACTCCCACAGCACACAAGTGAAAAACAAACAAGTGAAAGAGCAAAGTTCTGCTTCTCTGTGTCCTGATTTGTGCTCTGAATTGCCTGGGCAGCTGACCACTGGACTTCAGAGTTTTGGCAACATCAACAAATCAATACATGTCATGATCTGAGAGACGAACGACCAACAGCTTCATGAGATTTTATCCTATATTGTGTATCTGTTGAAAGAGTAGTAATGCTCTGAACGTCTGAGCACCTCTGATTTTACAAATCTGGTGTCTTCTGTTGGATGAGACTATATTCGCAAATCTTCAGCATCCATACGTTTAACCACTAGAGGCACATACCTTACATTTAAATAAGCATTTAGATAGCACTGAATGTAAAGTATATCAAGACTCACCATGCATTTCTATCTGAGGTCTCAGCCATTGCTTTCATATATAGCATCCATTTCGCATTAGAAGGACTCAATGCTTAGTTCCCTCCCTGATTATATAAAACATAGCTTCACTATAATAATAATCATAATAATAATCATAATCATAATACATATTGCTCAAAACTATTTATTTAATCATAAGGGGGAGATGAACTTGAAATTGAAAAACTTGAAACGGATCCCCTGATAAGCAATAAAGTAATAATGAATAGCTATGTATTCCTTAATGGTTAGATGGTGGGAGTTTTATCAAGTCAACTCCTTAAGACTCCACATTTCTTTCTTTCTTTTTTGTCTTTAGTTTATTATATGTTTAAATAACGAGTACTCTGAAAGGTCAAATGCACTCAGATTAACACTGAATAATTTTATTTGCAAAGCGCCTCCATTACAACTTACTTTTGACATACCAAGCCTTTTCACATAAATGAAAATACCATAATAAAAATAGTGCTAAATTAACATACAGTATAGTATTTATACAGTGTGTACCATATCCATAGGAAGTCAGTACTAACTAAACAGTGATTATTTTACCATAAGATAAGAGATAAGACTTTATTGATTCTACACAGGGGAAAATCATTATTTATCCACTGTCGAAAATGTGTTTTCACACTCAACAGTGTGAAAATATTTTAGTCTGGTAAGTGTTTGTGTGACGATCGTCCTTTTCAAGTGTTCCACATGGTCTCCCACCCTGTAACAGCAAAATAACATTTATTAATATGCTAAAATTGTACAGATATACAATCTGATCTGTGGGAGTCCAACTCAGTGTATAATGAGTGGATACCAAAGATATATTATAAATGCAAACTAAACACTGATCAGTGTTAATATAATGTAATCTAATGCTCCTCTTGTACAGGGTGGCACCACGTTTCTTTTTGACTTCTTGGGAGCCAAAGTCTAAATGATAGACACACGAGGTTCCCACATCATGTGACTGATCTATCTTCATACAAATACAGATCTGTGGTTTTAGTATGCAAATGTTATGTCAGCACATCGCAGTGTGAAGCACATACCTGAGGCTGAGTAGTGATGGGCTTTGTCCCCTGCTCACCTGGAACACACTCACCTGGGGAGAAAGTAAGATGGGGGGGTTCTGACAACATATAAAACCATAAAAAAATGTAAATCATCTTAAAAACTAAATGTAACTTTCATGCTTTTTGAGAACGCAGGCTCACTGGAACACCAAAATGGAAACTATTTCACCATCTCTTTTGTAATTAATCACACCTGTGCTTTTCCTGAATGTGCTTGCGTGTTTGTACCTTTGTTCTGATTCATGATGATAGTGTCGTCACTTAATCCATGTTGTCTGACCAGTGTTTTGAAGTCGTCCAGCACAGCAGCCCTCACATTCATATTTCGACCTGAAGAAGACAGAATAACTACAAAAAGTACAATAAACTGATGTATTGATGGAGTCAAAAAGTGTCACTCACTATAAAGCTTGACTGTGGTGGTTTTATTTCCTGATGGTTTCTCTGTGCTCAGCAGAAGCATCATTGCATACTCATCATAGTTGGAATGAACCACAAAGGAATCAACATCTGCTCCGAACCCTGCAGAAAGGAAAGTTTTCACAGTACACTGCATGACAGATTTGTAAACACATATTAGTGGAAGATGTACCAAACCTGCTGCTTTTTAGTTTAACGTGACTAAAACCTTGCTATTGTGGCGTGAAAGGTTGGGACAGAATGTACAGTTAGATAAAAAAGGATGTGGAGAGGAAGGAAGCTAGAGCAACATACTTGCAACATGGTGGTAGAATCGTCCTGGAGTGGTGGTCAGACCATGAACTGTGGACATCTGCTTACATGAGCCATTCCTACAAGCAGGCGCGCGCACATAAATGTAAACACAGCACAGCTTAAACTGAATGTAACATATTTTGAACTAATGCATGTAAGTCTGACCTGAAACTAGTGCCCATCATTGTGAAGTTGTCCTCACATGGAACATGTTGCAGCTCCAGTGCAGCAATGATGGGGTTTCCCCGCTTTCTCTGCATGTAGTGAGGACAAGTAGAAACCACTGCTACCTCATACCACTTTCCCATAAACTGCAAGGGACACACAACGATTTACTGCACAGCAAAAAATCAAAAATCATATTATGGCAAGAAACCTCCATCACATTACCATCATGACTGAAAGATGCAGGGAAAGGGGGAAATTTTGTTATATAATGTTTGTTATATATCTATATATATATACACACATAAATAAAATAACAAAAACCTGTATTTCATCCACTCACCCGGCCCAGATCGAAGTTCTCCTGTGTGAGGATAAGAGGTTCTGTGAGCACATGGGCTGCCTGCAGGGTCCAAGCCGACCCCAGGACCAGGAGAGACACCAGACTCAATGCTCTCTGCATCCTGTCAGCCTCTCTGAGGACAAACTGACACACTGTTTATTTAGGTTTTGTAATTTCCCCCTACGAACAACACTACTCAAAAGTAAAAGAGCAAAGTTCTGATTTGTGTGTGTGTGTACGCGCTAAAGTGTCAATTTGATTGTGTGTTTTGTTGGTCCATATAATCAGCAACTGGACTTCAGAGTTTGAAGCTAAAACAAACAACCAATCAATACATGTCAGAATGTAACATGTGAAAAGTAGTAGGGGACCAAATGTGCAATTATATTTGGTTACATAGGTAGCTTTGGCATTAGCTAGCACTAGGTGGCACATCAGAGAGCTGTGAAACAGCAGATGTGTAGTATCTACCCTCTGGAGTTCATATGTGAACTACACTAGACACACACACACACACACACACACACACACACACACACACACACACACACACACACACACACACACACACACACACACACCCTGGAGGTTAATATTGTTTATTTAACTCCATGTCAACACTGTGAAACACCCCAATTGATTATATTCAAGAAGTTATTTTAATTATCTATTTGATGTTAGGCATAAAACAGCTACAACAATGAGAAGCTTATTTCTGTAAAGGTTTTGTTTGGTAATTTGTGGGGAGGGAGAGAAATCATTTCAACAGTCTTAATAGTTAATATTGTTTATTTATTACTATGTAAGCATAACAGAACTATGAAAATAATGTAAAACACTGCATGACTCAGAATCAGCTGTATTGCCATGTAGGTTTACACATACAAGGAATTTACTTTGGTATTTTGGTGCATAACAATAAACATAGTAGGTAGAAAATATTAGAAAGAAAAAGCAAGTACAAGACGATGATGTATACATTTCATTAGCAATATTTGCTGATAATATCATCACTGTAGCCAGAATCATGACGTTTGCAAAAAGAGAGTTCTTTGTAGTACTTCATAGTAAATGCAGGGAAAACGAGAGGAGCGGAGAATCCAGAGCTGGAGCAGCACAACCGTATACGCTGCCACTCTTATCTCATGTGCATCAGGGAACCTAAAGAAAGTACCAGAAACTAATTTATACTGAAGATTTGTTGGACAGAAGTAACTCCCCTGGTATTCACATTTCTAAAAATAAAAAAAAGACTCACCTAATGTCCAGATCCTGATGGTGGGCAATTTCCTGTTAAACATATAGACAAGAATTAGGAAACTTCAGGGTCAATAAATTCTCCCCATTATGTATGTGTACATGTGTAGATATGTGTGTGTGTTCCCCGTACTTTACCTGCTGGAGGTGGAGTCACAATAGACTCTCTGGGGAAACCCTGGGACAAGGCAAAGGCTTTAAACTTATTAATTATTTCACCTCTGACTGTTTGAGAGCGACCTGCAAACAAGTACAGACACACACATATAAAGACAGACAACACAGTACTTATTCTGCAGCTCACATGTTTAAATGTAATGTAATCACAAATACAGTATATGCGTATGTGTGTGCGTCTCACCGTAAAGCGCCACCTGTGTGTACTCTCTGTTAAAAGCCTTGTATTTGAGAACCAGAGCGTATTCAGTGTAGTTTGTGTCCACCACTGTGATGTCCTTCACCATGTTATGGCCTGAAAGAAAACACAGAAGTGAGGGACAAAGACTCCTTGGCATTCATTGTTAAATATGAGTGACATTGTAAAGCTCTCCTTAGAACAATTAGTCAGATCTACAAAGGAACCTACAGAAAGGATGACCTGATCTGACTTTTGTGATTTAAGATTAAATGTTTATACAGAAATTAAAAGACATTTCAAACAAAGAGGGCCTCTATGAGATGGATAAAACTGTGTGTAGTATACCACTGGCGTATGTAGGCAACCATATTAAAAACATACTGTTTATAAATCAAAATATCTTAAACATGCATGCAATAAATATTTACATTACACACTGCATATGCTCTACAAAATGACAACAGTAAAGAAAAAAGAGAGAATAAAACATGAACAAATATAAGTAAGTAAGACATGCGGTGTGAAAATTAAGATGCATTTCAAATACATTATTATTATTACAGCACAAATACATGGTGTCAATAGTAGTCTACAATGTTAGATACACACAAATATAAACAACTATAATACATGCTATTTGTAACAACATTTTTGTTAAGTCAGAACAAACATTAATAAAAAAACATACAAGCATACACACAAGTGCATCATGAAAAACAAAAACAAAATTAACACTATAAAAACATGCTTGGTTTGATGTGTGTAGAAAAGAGGCACAAGCCAAAAATAACATATTTCTGCTTTGCATTCATTTAAAAATCTTGCAAGTAAATGCATACATTTTTAGAGTGCTCATGAATGGAGTCTTGTGGAACCTCAGGCAGGCACGTCATTTTATGGTCACATGTTCCACACACCCTCTAATCATGTATGCCCAGGACCACCTGTCTCTCACAGTTGACAGTCCGTATAAACATCGGACGCTCATTCAGTCTGCTTACAACAACGCTGAGCTCTGCATCCTCGCTGTGGCTTTCAGAAATTTAACTCCCTTCACCTTCCCAGCCCCTCCTTTGTGTTTTTAACACATGTTCATATTCATTAAATGTTGTGTATGTCTGGCTCTGCCACGATCAAGAACAGTCAAGTTTAACTGCTTCAAATAAGCAGAGACGCAAACTAAAATGCATTTTTCTGGAAAAAATGGTTAAAAGCCTTGATGTGAACATCCTGACTGAAATATTTGTCACATGTCCAGTCTGGACATTGTTGATGTTGTTTGCTCGTACTGTTGCAGAACCGGACTTTAATTTTGTTCTACTGCTGTGGGCACCCAGAGAGTGCCAGACAAAGAGCTTACTAAACACCATCTCTCTTCTCTCTTGGGAAGGTGATGAGAAGGAAGTATAGACTTACGTGTGCTGAAATAGGTGAACTGTCCAGGTACGGCGGTCTTCTCATATTGGTACCCCATAATCTGACAACCTACAGGTCTGAAGCACAACACAATGTGTCTTTATCTTCACTCCATACATCCCTGTCTTCTTTTACAAGCACTTCTGTCATTTACATGTACTGTACTGTATTTGCCCCACACACACACAGACTCACGTGGCGTCCCACATTGTGAGGTTGACATTGCCGTTTGGCAGTGGTGTGACCATGCCCATGGAGGCCTTCACTTTCTCTCTGAATGGGGCAAAAGATGGAGAGTCATAGGCCAGGCCCACGCGGTACCATTTCCCTGCAAACTAAACACACACACATAGGCTCACAAAATTAAATTTTCATGTCAAACATAAAAAAAAAATCACTGGTTTGTACATTTTAAAGAATAAAGCTGGAAATATTATAAACTTTCCTCACTGTCAACACATCCCAGGTAAAAACCAAAACCAACTCTCAGTGCTTTCTGACTTCCCCACCTTGTCTGTGGCTCTCAGCCCCAAGCCCAATGGACATAAATCTTTAAAGACAGGTCACGTATAGAGTGTTTCATAAAAAAAGGTGCAGTCATTTCCTAACACCGCGGGACACTGTTGTTTTTATCTAAGGTTAATCAGTCATGAGTAAATAGCGCCTGGGGACTATTTTCAGTTGCAGATTTGGCAAGATAGTGGGTATTTATGGAAGCAGTAAGGCGTATGTGGCATTTACTTGAAATAAAATACAGTGCCCATGTTTATAGTAATGAAGGAACATGTTACCCACTGCAACTGTGTAGCTCACCTTTGTGTGTTTAATTGTTTCTGGACCAAAATGGAGGCTCGTGACACAAAGGAATAAGGCTTTTAAACAAATCATTGGTGGTTTTGGTCATTCATATGAGATTTGTTGTTTATAAGAAAAACATAGACCACAACATTTCCTCATATCTGTACATAGATCATTAAAAACACTGACTGGATGGAGGCAGTGTGCATGTTCTGACTTTCACATGACACGAGCCTGCATGCTCATCAAGTTTTATGTAAGTGGGAAAACTGCTGCTGCATTTTCATTGACCTTCTTTAGGCTTTGTGGGTAAAGAATAGACATGTGTATTGGAAGGAGGAAAAAAAAAAAATCATAAGAGGAAATCATAGCGATAGTTTAGGGTTTTATTTATTTTGCATTAACCCAAACGTATCTGATCTTCTGCTAAATATGAAATAATCCCACCATAGGGATCTTTAAAATGCTTCTGGGATAAATCCAGTCAGCTGTCAAATAAGCCACAGGGAACAAATGAAGATGCTCCTTTTTAGAGACATTTCTCATGATGGGAAATGTTAAACTGACCCCTCTTAACCTCTTGTGTGTGAGGAAACCAGCAACAAGGCTTCGCAAATGTATTAATCATAACAATTTGTGCTGAGGCAAGAATTAAACCCACAGCTGTTTGTTTTGTGAACTACTGAGTAGCTGTTCTCAAACTTTGACTACACACAGACATACACACAGGCATGTTTCCATCACATTAGGACTGACTTACCCTAACCTTAACCCTTCACCTACACTTACCATAATCTTAAAGTAAGTCTTCACACTGAAATGTAATGGTGTAAATTATGGGGACTTGCATTTTGTCCCCATAAGGATGGCGAGTCCCCACAGTGTGACTGTGTAAACAGATTTATGTCTATGCACACACACGCGCACGCTTTTACGGTGTGAGACTGTGGCTGTGTTTGAAACGGATAAAAATGCTGTCTAACAGGGCAGCGAGTCATATGGACATGTTCTCACTCTATCTCCACAAAACACACTCTCACTCTTACGTAGACATTTAAAACACACACACACACACACACACACACACCTCTGGTGTTACAACAAATAATTGAAGCAGAACCTCCTTCACTTAACATATCGAACTGATTCAGATACATTCATTCTTAAAAACAAACATAGTAAACATGTATCTTACTCTCTGCAGGTTGAAATCTCTCTGCGGCTTCACGTCAGCGTACGCCATCATCACGCAAGACATCACCATGACAACAGCAACCACAGTGGTCCTCATGGCTGCGTGGAGAAAGGAAGCGGCGAGGTGGATGGACTGAAAGGTGGAGAGAGGGTTATCTGGCCCGAGCCTAAAGCGAACTGGAGGCAGCCAACAGATGCGGACACGGAGTGGCAAAGCCTCTGGCAATGTTTGTTTTTTTCTCCTGATCCACCCACCTATTTGTCAGCCAATCACTGGGCTAGGGATCATGGAACAGTGGCCAAGTGTTGAAGATGTGTGGCTCCAAAACAACCCTGACTCAGACTTCACTTCCCATAGGTGCGGGAATAGATCATGCTTGTGGCCTCTTAGCATCAGCTGAAGCTCATGTGCTGTTCCTGCATGCACAGGCACGCTGGTTTCACAAGACTTTGTCCCAAATTGAAAGATACACAGAGAAGAAGAAGCTTAGAGGGATCAGTAGGTTCTGCATCTGAGGCCTAATACTGGGGTTTTAAAGAGATTAACGGATAGTGATAGAGGAAGTCTTCAGATTATTTACTTAAGTAAAAGTAACTCACAACACTACATAAAAAGGCTACTCAATTACAAGTTAAATGTTCTGCATTCAGAAGGTCACTGATGGAAAAGGTACAGAAGTATTAGCAACAAAATGTACTTCAAGAATCAAAAGTTAAAGTATTTATTATGCAAAATGGCTCCTGTCAGTCTTACATGGATCATTATTACTGATGCATTAATATGTAAGTAAGTGTTGCACTTGGTCGAGGTGGAACTATTGCATATATTGTCGGGAACTTAAATCTATAAGAATGCATCATATTTTAAACAATCATGTTTTGTATGTAATAGATTAGTCTGTGAAGTGTCTAGTAACTATAGCTGTTGAATAAATGTGGTCGAGTAAAAAGAGTACAATTAAAACCTTTGGAATGTATTGGAGTAGAAGTATAAAGTGGCAGAAAATAGAAATGGTAATTCAAATATGTACTTTTCCACCAGTGCAACACTTGGCTTGAATTGAGGTTTCATAATTACATATAAAACAAGACAAGTTTGCACAACTACAGTATGAAATGTAATTCATAAATATCGTTCGTGTCATGACAAGAGAAATTAGTAAAAGCTTTCTGTAAAAGGTCTCACAGTTTCATTCTGAAACTCCATTTCAACCTCCAGTTTCTCTTTCCTCAGTTTCAGTATTTCGGTCCACTGCTAGTCTAAAAAGGTGACTAATGTAATACACACACACACACACACACACACACACACACACACACACACACACACACACAGAAGCATCATATCTGTGTGTGAGGTCCGCTGAGTAGCTTGACATTGCTAAAATTAGGGCTGAGGCTGACAGGGTAAAGCAGAGTAAATGAATGTACAGAACGTACCATCAATGTTGAAAGTGGGTTTGGAGGAAGGTGTGTTCACAGGACACAAGAACTCACTGTTGAGTCCTGTTGAGAGGTCAGTCGTGGGTCTAATTTGGTTTGTTTCCTCTAAAATCCAGAGAAGGATTTTTGGATGGAGATTTGACACCGTAGTAAAATAAATACTTGTGAAATTTATAGCGACTTACTAGAATTAGATCGAACCCGGCTGTATGTAAATTAAAAAGAAGTTTGGTTGTTAGTATGAATGGCCTAAAGGGTCCATTCTTTTTGTATAAGGCCAGTAGAGTGTCTGAACCAATTTAAATTATGAATCCATAATTTATTCTAGAAAAAAAAAACTGTTTGGCATATATAACATTTTAAGTTTTACTTGGAAGTTGTCTTACAGGAAACCACCTGAGTGTGACCCAAAGTGAACTGCTAAACCAATGTTTGGTACACTGAAAAACAGTTTTAAGGTAAAAGGCCGTGCTGAGTGTTGCGATATCACCAGCATGTTAAACGTTTTTTTGTGGATTAGCTAAACAAAGCAGTCAGGCATCAAACTATTACATCTGCTCATAAAAAAACCCAAAAAATCAACTGAGAACCCAAGGGAACAATTTAAATAGTTTTTATTAATAATGATTTTCCATTTGCAGCACTGCTTGCATCTCATTTTCTTGAAATGCATGATGTGTACAGCTAGCCTTCAGTGGACAAGAGGACATCAGTGTGTGTGTCTCACACACACAGCACACCTCACAGACCTCCCCTACACACTCTGCAAAGCTGAGAGCTGCCACATGTGCAACGAGACATGAAAATGATAAAAATAAAACACACACACACACACACACACACACACACACACATACATAGGCAGACGAGTACACACTTGTTTCCTTCTGTAGCACAGCTTGATGTTCCTGAGGATCACAAAAAGGGAAAAACAGACAAACAAAAAGTGCAAAAAGCAGAGTGAGAAATGTTGATCAGAGGCATGAGGGCCAGTAAGAGCACCGACACACACTTCAGCTGGGGTTTCTGGTCTACAGTACGGCCTCGCTGGTGTGTACTGATCCCCACATAATCACACACTTAGAGCTGACTTTTGACTGACCTCAGTTTGAGCTGGGAAGACTGGTAACAGTTGTTCACCACAAACTGACAACATTTTTAGTGTATTGGGTGGCGGGGCTGGCATTAAATTGTTTTAATCAGTCAAATAATGTAACAATGTGCAGAGGACCTTTTCGCAGTTTCATGTAAGGTTTAATTGTTACCACTCTATTTACAGTAGTCCAAGTCGTAGTCACTCTATTATTTTATTAGTCATCCAAAGACTGCATGATAAAATGAGGGCATGGAAACTGGGGTCTGTTTGACGCTCCCTTTTCTGGAGCATTAGTGAAGACACAGCGCCCCCCACTGGTCAAACGGGTGTCTCAAAACCTCAACACACCCTGTCCCATAGACATTCTCTGTGCAGGCCTTCTGCTGTTTTAGGTTTTACACCTGACTTATCGGATTTGCTATGCACTTTTCAAAACATTATTTATTAGATGGGCAAATTGGCTCCTGGTTACAACAACCACTGTAATTGCTTGCTCCCTGGCTGGTTCCTAGTGCCTTTTTATAAAAAGGTAGAAAAAAATACAATTGCCATTCGATTGTCTTGCACTCATGCATGAATCCCCTTTTTATACCAAAATCACAAAGCTAAGAACTCAGGTGAAAGAAAACACATATAGCAGTGAAACAATCAAAGTATAATTAACAGTTCCTCCAGAAATAATAATTTAAACTCATTTCAAAAGTGAAAATGGAAACATCTTATTCAGAGTGCTCTGCTGTGGGGCTGTTCAGGCAGGGTTGAGAAGTGCAACCCTCAGTCACAAGCATCATAACAGCCTAACCGTGTTCCCTTAGATACACAAGTCACACTTTACAACATCATCATTGGTTGCTCGCTTTTCCAGACATTCATGACAACATTGCACACTCATCATTAAAGAATACATATATATGAGAGAGAGAGAGAGAGAGAGAGAGAGAGAGAGAGACTCTAAACTAAAACCACACAGGAAGCAGGGATGAATCTCAATTTCTGTCAAACAGCTTTGTTGGTCTCCCCCCCCCCCTAAACAGGGAAATGATAGGTGAGAGTACTCTGATGATCACAGTCAGCAGCTGTCAGTGAACCAAGAAAAGCCATTTAAATATTGAGAATCAGTCTGCAGAAAGCAAAGTAGCCTTAGCATTGCCACAATAACACTCGAAGAATAAGTCCTCTACACTACAGCCAGTCTTCAAATGACCTGTTACACAACCTCCGCTGGAAACAGCATGCCTGGCTGTACTGTAGGTGACTGTAGGATGTGGTCAGTTGCAAAATGTAAGACAAAAAGTCACAGGGTAATGGCAGACTACACATGACAAACTTCAGCAAAAGATACTTTAAAACTGTTTTTTGAGTGTATAGTTGGAGATTTATGTCACCAGACCTCCTGAGCAATCTCAAAAGTGGATAAAAACAATCCCTCCATCAAACACTAAACAAACTTCAATCAGGAAATATCTGAAATGTATGCAACTACCGTTTATACCATTGTCTGAATCAACATGAGCACAGCAGGATGAAGCAGACATGGCAGAGAGTGAGGCTCGGTACCTGCCAGAGACAGCCAGGTTTAAACAGAGGTGCTGGCTTGAAGGAATGGAGGGCCAAAGACACAGAGAGAGAGAGAGAGAGAGAGAGAGAGAGAGAGAGAGAGAGAGAGAGAGAGAGAGAGAGAGAGAGAGAGAGAGAGAGAGAGAGAGAGAGAGAGAGAGAGAGAGGAAATAGGGGAAAAAAGGTTAAAGATAGATTCATGGAAAGGATTGAGGTGCTTGGCAGAAAGATGATAAAGGCTTAAATTAAAAGGTGCTGAGCAAATGGAAACTTGGGCAAGCAATATCTACAAGACAACCCAAGAAACAAACAAGTAATCAATAAGACAGCTAGACGACATATTAAGATTACAGCCGGGACTAAGTAAAGACCGAATATCCTCAAAGGAAAATAAGTTAGGGGGATAGAGTCCTTGAAAATGCTATGACAGCAGCCGCGCAAGATTTGGACAAACTGTTCCTGCACCAGACAGACTGGACTTCCAGACGTTTTTCAGAATAAAATATGAGCTCCCAAGATTTCAGCCAGCACTGCCAGGCTGCTATGACGGGGAACTTGGGAGACAGACAAATGAGATTATGGTAGATAGAAGCTGAAGCTGAAGTGAAGGTACGTCCAATACAGGGAACCATATGAGACACTATGTGTGGGCCAGGCCTGTGAATCTGGGAGATGAACTCACAGTAAGGCACAGTGCTCTGCTTGTTGTTGATGATGCTCATTCATGCTGCTACAACCTCTGACGGCAGCTACTGCAAAACAGCAGACAAAACATTGATGACAAAGCACATTTTCGCTTCTTCTACAATTCTATTATGACCCCCCCCCCCCGCTGTGACAACATCCCCACCCCCGTTTTTGAATCTTTGGATCTTTCGGCTCTCTGGAATCTGGCAGAACATCCCTCTGTAGCACCAGAATACTGTTGAAAAGTCCTGGCTGATCGGGTGACTTGGTGCTTCTCTCTCTTCAGAAGTCCTCTTCATATGTTTTTAGAAGAATATACACACTCCCTCTACAATAGGCAAAGTCTACCTTTTAGGACAAAACCTGCACAACCACAGCCACACAAACATACTGCACTTCAGGTCAGTGTGTGAACAAATCCTGTTTGTGGAAATAGCCCCATATCTTTAGCCCAGGGTTGAATCAGTCAGATCACTTGACTTCGTGTCCCAGCAGCTGATATAAAAATGCACACTGCAGCTTCCTTTTTGAGAAGAGTTACTGAAGCACAAATTTGGATACAAAATAAAGCAAAAAACCAACCTGATACATTTGAACTATAACAAAAAAAGAGAACGCTTCTCCGAAAACATAAATTACTAAAACTTTCAGATTTTCTTAAATATGTAAACAAACACTACAACTCAAATATATTTGGTGTGATGAAGTCATATTTAAATACAAATCTTTGTTTTATATCAGCTCCCACGTGGTGCGGCTGATTATTGCACTGCAAACACTGGAGCCCTATTGCACTGTAGTAAATCTTTCAGCTTCAACCACTGGTCTAATTTAACATCTTGAACTGTGGGGTACATGTCAAAGGCTTTCCAAAATCCCTCACATCCTTGTTCCCTTTAAAAACAAACAAACAAACCTGCAGTCCTTTTGTCATTTTCATCTCAAGCTCTGTAGAGCAAAGGTGGAAATGAAGACAAGGAGACAAAGACGTCAAGGTAATACTATCATTAACCTCCCAAGAAGAAAGCTGTAGCTGACACACAGGTTTGTCACTGCTGGCTAATTGTGCAGGTGAAGTCGATTTTAGAGGCTCCAGTTTTCCACAAAACAATCTTGCTGACGAAACAACGAACTGAAAGACAGTTTAGGTCCTTTAGGTCCCTTCGTTATACCACACAGTTTTTGTAGTGGATCCACGTTCCTCCTCAGCATCCTTTATGGTTAACTGTAATTTCAAGTTTTTGCATTCTGGATGCCAGGCAGCCTGCACTCCGCATCCCTCCCATTTATATCCCCCAGCAACACATCTGGTTTGATGGACCAGGATGGACTGGCCGTGGGTTGTTTGAGACCTGTGTGGGCAGGGATTGTGTGGCTATGAAGGGTGGCTTCAAGTTACCAAATAGATCTGGTTACTAGGTTTGTGCCTCTCTGTGTTTGCTGAGGTAGCGAGAGAGAAGTTGCAGGGGAGATTTCAGGAGGATGGATGGAGTGGCGCTGCGTGCGTGCGTGCGTGTGTGTGTGTGTGCCGTGCATATCAGTTTTTAGGGATTTGAAAGAGAAAAGTGGTTTGGGGAATACAATTTGTACGTTTGTGTATGTGTAAATGTGTTGGCATTTGAGTGTGAGCGTATGGAGTCTGTATGGCTATTACTTTTACAAGTATTTGTGTATATGGGGACATGGTACAGCATTCTGCTATCCTGGTCACACGATATTGTCTTCTTTTCTGTATCTGTATGTGTGTGTGTGTCTGTATGCATGGATGTGTGTCTAGGTGTACATGTAGTGGTTAGCCTGGTCATCACAATTTGTGTTTCCCTGACAGTATGGAGCGGTAAAGCTCCTCGTCCAGCTGCGTATAGCACCCTCTGCTGGAATCCAGGAAGTACAGTCTGTCTGACACCACGGTGGGGTCAAAGCTGTCCCGACGCAACTCCATCTTCTGAAACTTAAACGTTCCTGAGAAACAAAGAGACAGATAGATATGTAGGTACTTTATTTAGCCAATTAAACTGCCGTTTAGTTGTTTAAGAAATACTGTAGTTCACTGTCTTACTGCTTTTAAAAAAACAACCTAAACACACCACTTTTGTAATCAAATGAGTTTTTAATCAAATTGCACAGAAATAAAAATTATGTCAGCTTCTGAAAATCTGCTTTTGATTGGATTCTTTTACACAAACAGCAGTGAAAAGAGCATTTTACCTGTCTTGTTGACCTCGGGAAGAAAACGGAGGAACACAGGTCTGGCATACGGAGGGAGAGCCTTCTCCATGTCCTTCACAAACTTCTCCAGGTCAGTGGAGTTAGACGGATCAGCGATGGCTGCCATTCCAGCCTTTCCCTCTGCTCCTGTGCACACAGAAATGGACATGTGAAGAGGATTCATTCTGTGAGACTATTATATACTATATAATAATAAAGTTATCTAATCTAATTACAGCAACTGGAAAGTGGCATCTGTGATTTGTCTGCAGAACCTCAGCTACAGCTCAGCCTTTTCAATTAATTTCATGCCACAATAAGTCAAGATACTTCTACCGGCTCCATCTCTTCTAAATGTAGCACTTGAAGCAGTTCAGCATATTTGATGAAGTTGATGTACTTGCACGTCTTGCAATTTTTTGATTGTATCCACATGGTTGAATGCACTTATTGTAAGTCACTTTGGTTAAAAGTGTCAGCTAAATAATGTTCTTGTCAAATATCTATTCAGTATTACATTTATCTCTCTATACACACCACAGTAACCTATTCTAATGACACATACAGGAAGCAGACATGTTATCCATATTTGTGTCCACCCTAACTCCTTTTCCGTTTAATAATGATCCTTTAATCTCAAATAAGAACAGATATTAAAGCATGTATATTGAAAGATTTTACCTGGTACTTCCACTCCATAAACAACTACATCTTTCATGTCTAGCAGCCTGCTTAGAGTTCCCTCCACCTCAGTTGTTGAGACGTTCTCTCCTTTCCAGCGGAAAGTGTCTCCTGTGCGGTCCTTAAAGTACATGTGGCCGTACTTATCCATGATCAGCACGTCACCTGGTGAGTGAGAGAAAAAGATTTTGTTCATTTAGTCATTCAGCATGGAGTACAGTGAATTAGGGGTGCAACAACTAATCAACAGTCATCGAAAATCGATTAAATTCGTTGGCTACCAATTTAATGATCGATTCCTTCATGACCTCATCGGGCCGTAACAACACCGTCAGCTTAACGGAGTAAAGTGATGTGAACAGTGAAGTTACTAAAACAACATAATCAGCGCTACAGTAACACCTTCAAAACTTAAAACTTCCAGAGTGTGGGAGTATTGTACTTTTCACTCAGTCAAGAAGGTTGTTAACTGCAGCATCTGCAAAGCTGAGCTTTCCTGGAAACACCGGAGCATCTGAAGAGGAGGCACGTAATATTGTTGCTCTGTGGATGATGAAGACTTGTCTCGGTAAGCTAGTTAGCGAGCTAGCTTCACGTTAAAGCCGTGTTACTTCATGTTATGTGCTGTAACGTTTTCTATACAGTCTCCCTTAATGTTGTTGTTAATGGTGCTGTGAGTAGCATATAATTATGAGACGGCCTCGTTCACATTCCAGTGACAATCATAAATGATGATGCATCGCGCATGGCAACGTTCCCAGCTGGAGAACATGTTGCTGCCGAGTGCGCAACATTAGACAAAACCAGACAATTTCATACTTTCTAAAGAGGAAACCGTTCTCCTGTCTATGCGTGAGGCAGCGGGTAATCCACCCCAAACTCCCTTAAAAAATCCTAGAGTTTTGTGAGTTGTTGAGTTGGGGGAAAATACATAAAACTTGTGAAACGCTGTCGACTACAAAATCGTTATAATTGATCCCCCTGTAAATTCGGCAAATGTAATGCATTCCTTTCTTTGTATATAGTGTCAGTTTGTCCCGGTGTGTTGCAGTACTGGCGTGTAAACTTATCCGTCACTAAACAGCAGATCAGCTGCTAAGATCAGGACTTGATTTTAGTGGAACTTTCTTTTGCTGCAGCAGAAACATTCATTAAAACATCCATTTTTAAAAGCAGTATTTATTTTATTGTTGTGACCTCAACCTCAAGTTTAATTTAAAAGCTGATTGCTTAATCGACTATCAAAATAGTCGTTAGTTGCAGCCCTGCAGTGAATAACTGAAGATATGTGTGCGTATGTGTGACTCTAACCAGAGAGGTAGGCACTATCTCCCTTCTTGAAGACGTTGTGAGCAATCTTCTTGCTGGTTGCTGACTGGTTGACATAACCATCAAAACTCCGAAGAGGGTCATTGTGAATGATCCTGCCGACTAGCTGGCCAGGCTCGCCTTGAGAGAGAGAGAAAGAGAGAGAGAGAGAGAGAATAATACAGTACCTTAATGTAACGGGCATTTATGTGAAATTAAACCATTTTTACATACAAAGTGGATTGTTTGAACTCCATCAGGGATTCCAGAAAGGACTGTGTCTGTGCATGCCTGTATTATGTCTACAGTACATTTATATTATAGACACAATGCTATACAATAACTTTGAGGAGGTGGGGGTATTTGTTGGAGCCTTGTTGTGAGCCTATTAACCTATGACCTGAGAGTTCAACCCACTTCATAGGCTACATCCACACTACTGTTTTTTGTTTCAAAACTGCAAATTTGAACACCTAAAATGGATAAGTTCTAAAACACTGCTGGCCCCGTTTTAGCATATTATTGTTCATTATCATATAATTTAAAAATGATGACGCAGACACTCACATTAGACTTCCTGTTTGGGTCTTATTAGTCATGCAAAGCAAAAACACAATGTTACTGACCGTGTTTTTGTTTTGGTATTTTTATTAAAATAGATAACACGGCTGCCTCATTAACTAGCTAACATCAGCTAGTTTCACACCTCATGTTACTTCACAGAGTGGGCAAGAGCAGAGTACTACATTTCTGCAATTTATTACAATAATTATATTTAGCTGGTATCCATGCTTTTCTTTAATAATAATAATGATAATAACTTTATTTGTAGAGCACTTATCAAACAGAGTACAAAGTGCTTTCACAGAAGATAAAAAACAATTAAAATCATAACAGTTAAAAGACACCAGTGAAATAAGACATAGCATGCACAAACAATAAAAGGGCTAGCCTATCAGATAATACGTTTTCAGGCTACACTTAAAAGAAGACACTGACATAAGTCTGCCGCCATTGTGTATATTTCCGTATGTGTATATGTGCATCAAGAGTCAACATCAAAAGTTGACACTTAAAATAACACAGTTGATGTTTAATGTATGTACCTACCAGGTTTACAGGGAATACAGACGCCATCAGGTCCCCTAATGAGCTCCATGGTCTCTTCATCAACCCTCACCAGTCTGATGGGGTAGATGAACGGTAGAATCTGACTGTTGAAGCCACACGCTCCAACCTAGAATCCAGACAAAAGACTTCAGTACAATAATGCAAATTTAAAACACTGGGGCTGAAATCTAGTTACCATTTTGTTGCAGGAAACATTCTCACCTGGTTACCGAAGTTGCCCAGGCTGCAGTTGCACTCTGTGGCTCCATAGAACTCTGCGATCTGTGGGATATTGAAGCGATTCATGAACTCCTCCCATATGGATTGGCGCAGGCCGTTGCCCAGTGCCATGCGTACCCGATGCTGTCGCTCCGTGTCCCGAACTGGCTGGTTCAGCAAGTATCGGCAGATCTCACCAATGTACTGCACAATCTGGAGGACAATGGCGCAGTATGGTAGTGAAAAAATACTGTTTAGTGATGAGACAGAACAGAGATGAGAACAGACTAATTACTGATTTAATGCCAAGCTGACAATAATGAAAAAAGGGATTCAAAGAGATTAACTAGGGAATAACATTAAATCTTAACAGGGAAGAGATCTTTTCAGCAACACTGTGAGATTGCGGTGTTCTACCCTGCCTTTTAAATCTGTAGCAGTGATTTATAATCTGCATTATGCTTACAGTGCAGTTGTATTTGACACAGTCGTCCCAGAAACGCGAGGCAGAGAACTTCTTTCTGATGACTACAGTCATGCCATGTATTATACACTGGCCCACTCCCACAATGTTACCTGCAGACAAAAAATTGTCACAGTCATAGAACGCTAACCTCAACAAGGTAATAAACAAAGATACATAATTTAAAGTAACAGCAGCTACTTCTTTCTTTAAACTCATACTCATTATACCTTATCTTGTTTACATTATATGCACATTCTTATTCCCTTCATTTATCTGAACTTGGCTTTTCAGAGATGGTGAGCAGACCTTTGTTCGTGCAAGTCAAGAAAATGGACACTAAATGTGTGCCAAAAAAGACCCACTCAAATACATCAGCACCATTTTTGTTGTCTTTATCCACTACCATAGACGGATGGATGGATGCTGTTTCAAGGTAGAAAGTTCATAAATATCAATATTAAAAGGAACTTAACAGACTGAAGGGAACAAGAGCAGATGGACTTCCTAGCATGAGAAAAAGCATACTGTTATAGTTATAGTTTTACCTGCAGAATGGTAGAGTGGAAGGCAATCATACAACACATCATCTGATGTCATCCTAAAACCATAATATACCAAGGCTGCCATGCGGTAGTACCTGAAAACAAATTTGGGGTGAAGTAGGACAAGAGGAGAAAGTCAAGAAAGAAGTCAAAACAAAACCAACAAGCTTTATTGTATTTTCTCTTCCATTCTCTTCTTCTCGAACAGTATTTATCCTATCCATGAAAGCTACACAGATCAGCAAAGCGAGCAGCTGCAATTCCTGTGTGACTGTTAGTTAGCTGCATGGCTCCTTCCTACCTGCTGTGCGCAACAATAGCAGCTTTAGGCATCCCAGTGGTTCCCGACGTGTAGATGTAGAACAGGCGATCTGAAACAGACAGCAGAGTGAGACTGAGATGACATATCAAAAACTAAATGTGGTATGACCGGTTTTGGCATGATTGAGTGTGTAAAAATGTAGGCTCTATTTTAAATGTGCAGTTTTAGTTTACTCTTTTGAAATTAACTTCTGATTAACTGTGCAGGAGTGTAAATCCTTATATTTGATCCCTAATGAAAACTCATTTTGACTAAATTACAAAACTGAAGAACAGAAGCAGAATTTAGCAGAATCCTTTTTTAAAGACTGAAAATTTGACCATCAAGTCCCTGCTTTGCTCAGGGATGCAGTGCGGTGTGTAAGCAAGGTGTTCTAGTGCTTAGACAGCGAGGTCTTGTTCACCAAAAGTCCTGCATCCAGATGTATAGGAACCAGCTCTTTATCCAGTTGAGAGGTCCCTGGCACAACTGATTGTATCTGTAATTAACTCCAACCACTGCTAAACAGAATAAACACACTATCTGATATATAGCTAGAGAAGTGGATCATGGTGGCACTGAGTTGTTTGGCATACACGAATCAGCTGTGTGGGTGCTATGTGTACAAAGTTGACTAAGCAGCACCTCAGTCCAGTGACTCTATCCAACATACAGTATGTGTGCATATACATCTCTAATCACATCTGATATTGTCAGGATCATACAGTCTGGAAATATACAAAAACATAACAACATGCAACTTCTTTCTTCAGAATCACGCTTTTTCTGCTTCCCTTGTGCTTCTTTGTCGTGCCCAAGATAATAGGTTATTGTTTAAGTTGAAAATTCAGAAATAAACTTCAAAACAAAAATCACACATACACCTGTACAACTAGTCTGTCTGCAATATTTTATGAACATGCTTATTTCTTTCATCTCTAATCACCTCTGCATGTGTCCGGACTGATTCATTTTGGTTGCCATCTGTCCGGATAACCAGAGTTTTAACATAGCCAAAGGTCACAGGTTTCATTGCTGCTGCAGCCTTTGTGGCTGTCAGTGATTGCATGTAGTATTCAAGAGCAACTGTGAGTCAGCAGATCGGACTTAATTATTGTTCTAAAAGGGCTAACCGAAAAAATCTATGGATAGAATGGAAAATATGAAATGGTAAATAATGTAGACAACAACAGAATTGCCGCTGAAATTTTGGTTGCTGAATTATTATTACACCACAGAAAATATCACTTACAATGACTCCCAAAAGCATCGGTAAAATAGACATGTGTTAAATGAACTCGGAACTATTAACATTGTTGGGAAACTCTGATCCGGATTTAGTTAAGAGATGTGATCGGCATGGCGTTCTCACCAGTGAAGCAGCGCTGTGGCTGGCTTGGCAGATGGGACGGGGCAGCATCCAGCAGGGGCTCCAGGCACTCGGTTCCCTGTGGGACTCGTTTGGGGTCCCAGTCTCCACAGCAAAACATCTGCACTGCCTTCCCCATTGAACTGTGGATCTCACACACCGCTAAGAGAAACACATTACAGTAAATTAGATTTATTTCACTATCCCAACTTGCAGGGGGACTTCATGTGGTACAGCATTTAAGCACCGAAAAACTGACTATGGGGGCAGGGTAATAGGTGTCAGGTGGAAGGTGGGGGGATAGAGAGATGGGAGACGAAGAGATGAAGAGCAGTGTAACAAAAGGGCAAGAAAGGAAACAACAAATCGCAACAGCTTTCATATTTTCCTGTTTAAAAAAAAGCCAGAGTATCTTAATTTAAAAGCCTTAAAAGCCTTGTGTCATGCTGGCGCAGCACTAATGCTACTGCCTCGACTTTGGTCTGCTTAGTAGCAAAGAGGCTTCGTTTCCAATTACTTAAAGGCATAAAGCACATGACAAGTCCAGGATCCAATGCAGAGACTGTTCCATCACTCCCGGGATGAACAGCTCAAAACTCATTCCCTCTTTAAAGCTGTTGAGATCAGGACTTTTCAGATTGGGCAGGACCCAAAATGGCGTCATGAGGAGATTGAAATAGATACCTAATTTATGTTTGACCATTCTACTAAGCCGCTGCAATTTTATATCATTAGTGCCTCCCAAGGTTAAGCACTATAAGGCATGTTTAATAATACACTTCAGGTTACTAGATTAGACATTATAAAAGCCAAATAGCTCTATGAGCCTTCAGAAATACAGTTCGGTCAATCTTATTGTAGTAAAAATCATAAACCACTGCATACTGAACAGTTACATTGTTAAATTGTTTATCTATTATTAGACGTAAGTTCAAGACCAGTATTAAGTGGGAGGAAAACATAAATATATATGCTGTAATTTTTATCCATTAAACAAGCATGTGACTCTGCAGTGCTGGTTTTACATCAGCTATGTTGTTGTTTTAGTTTTTGTTCCCAAACCAACCTCATATCTGTTCTAGTTTATCATTTATCAGTCAGGTCTCTTCTCTCACCAACTCAGACCTTGAACACTGCAAATTGATGACAGAGACATTTTTTCCACTTCCCTCTTCATCACTTCTTCCCTTCCATCAGCCACTTAATGCTCCATTGACTGATATCGAAGAGACACCTCCACCGAAACCCATCCATCTTTTATGACCTCTGTTGCTTTCTACCCGCACCACTTACCTGTCTCATCACAGCGGATGCATCGCAGCACTGATCAACTCATCGAGTCAATGCCCTCTGATCAAAACTTCTGATTTTTGGCTACTACTATAACAAACAAAATCTGTCACAGTTGCCACACCTTCCCCTCCTCCATCCTCCCTGCTCTTACCGTCAGTCAGCTCCGAGCCAAATACCACAGCCTTGGCATTGGAGATGGTGACACAGTGGACCAAGGCCTCTAGTCTCAAATTGAAGTTGATTAGCGCGGCCTCTACTCCGATCTTGGCCATGCCCAGCCAGATGCCCACGTACTGGGTCCTGTTCTCCATGAAAAGAGCCAGCACATCGCCCTCCTGAGGAGAGAAACAGAATAGGGTGGGGCTAGTCAAGTTGATGGCCATCAACTGATTGACTTTACTTTGTTTCTATTTAAAATAAGTCTCTATAAAGGGTTCATATCATGCCTGCTCCTGGATGGGAACAACATCTGAGAGGGTTTTAACAGTTAAGAGTAATCAGTTTCTGCTTTATCATTGACAGCCGTTATATGCAAAACAGACATTTTCCCCCTAATTCTTTATCGGGTATTTTATTTTGTAGACCAGACCTACCTGGAAACCCCGTTGCAGCAGCAGGTTAGCCACTCTGTTGGAGTACTCATCCAGCTGTCTGAAGGTCCACCTCTCCCCGGTCCCCTCAAAGATCAGTGCCGTTTTGTCCCCGTGGCGGCGTACTGTTTCAGCGAAGATCTTGGGAATAGTGTTCTTCTCTCTGAGGTGGCGTCTGACATTCATCTTCACCTGAAATAATACACCCGCCGCACTGAAGGAGCAAAGAGAAAATATTGTTAAAAAGGGAAAAAAGAAGAATAATTCTAAAAGACCATTTGCCCTTTGACGTAAAAGCCGATCCACATCTTCTAGAGGACCACTGCATTGGTTTAGCACGTTTTAGCACATTAACTACAAATTGAATATCCTGTCATTATAGCTAGCCATTATCCAGGAACACAAGTTTTTAGATTGATTTCCTACTCTTTAGTTTAAATGTGTCTCTTTGTCAGCAATCTTTTCCAAAAACTCAATATTTACAAAGCTAACTGAACGCTCAATGTGTGACAATTATAGCACTTATCTCAGTAGATGCTGATTTTTTACACTGTAGTGAAATGTATGGAAACCAGTGACTTCCTCTGCACAGTGGGTACAAGAAATGAAATCAAACTAAAAACTTATGATATACTTTGAAAAACAATCATCAGTAATATGAAGTGTGCCTATTTTGTAGCCACCCACTATTATTATCATTCATTGTAATCTGATATTCAAAATTTTAAATTAATTTAATTTAATTTTAAGCTGATCTACATGTATTGTTGACCAACTATGGTCATCTATTACCAATACTGTGCAAACGTAACGACACTGGGCATAAAACTGTGCATAAAACATTATGACAGAGATGGCTGGGTGGATCCAAGGGGCAAAGTCTGCCCAGATCTCACTCGATAATTTATATTTGTGGTGCAAAGGTACAGATAATGTGCAATCTCCGGGGCACTGTATAATTACTAAAGCATCATAAAACTCTATTGAGCCATGTTACTTAATGGCTACATTGTAATGGTGATGATATTTTTATCATTACAAAGGGGATTAGTTATATCATGTTCATGTTGATCCAGATGACCACAATTGATAGACAGATGCAGAGTTGTTTTAGTCACTTCATTAGTACCCTTGGCCACAATAAAACGCTTTGGAGCTCATTCTGTTGACAACAGAGGTGCTACATGAACTCTACACTATGTAAGTAACTTATTTTGTCATGCCATGTTTTTATCAACCTGACTTATTGCTGGCAAAGTTTTAGAAAGATCCATAATATATCTGATATTATTGAATTTTACGATTTAAAATACTGGTTTCTTCATTCAAGTTTATTAGTGTAGTTTAATACTGGCAACAAACCATTAAGAAAAACAACTCTTATTTACAACCAATTCTAGCAAACACAGATACTTTAAGCCTACTAAAACCACCCAGTGACAATCTCTGGCATTTGCAAGGACAGAAATGTGTATACTGGAGGTTGGGTTAGTTTACAAAGGCATTAAGATGTGAACCACCGTGAACAGTGTAAATACTTAAGCCTCGTCACAGTATACAATAGGAATTTATGACTCACGGTGGAAAAGGGCATGCACTTTGGATTTTTAACCATGAGGCTTCAGGAATTGTCTATACATAGATGAATAATCACATTATTACAAACATTATTAGAACTGTAGTAGTGAGGGGTATTTGCATCTGAGCAGGTGCACCAAACAAAGTAGCTGAAGCAAACAGTAAGTAGTAATAGGTCTGAAAAATAAGAAAACTTGGTTGTGGCATCTTCTTTTTATATGATAAAAGCTCAAAATGTCTATAAGATATAGCCAAGGAAACTGTGATCTTTATATCTTTAACCAATGAGAGAGAAGGGGGCATATTTTGTATACAATAGGTCACAGAAATGTGCTAATCACTACAGGTTAGGGCACTTAGGCCTATTTCTCATGGAGAGGTCACAAAAGCCCATCTTTTACAATTTCCTATTTTACCAGTACTGGAGCTATTGAGGAAGTTAAACACAAACCAATCACCATGGTAACCCCCAACTGTAAATATTGGCTTTAGGTAAGACAGTTAATACAGCTGCACCTCCCCCATCCTCTCTATTGTCTTTTGCCTGAAATATTTTAGGCTACCTGCCATGTCAAAAACGTTTTGAAACACGCAAAACAGGAATATGCAGCTGGTTGTAACCACCAGCTGTAAAACTTGTCCTGTTGAGTTATTAGGCGCTCCTTTTATTCTGATTGTAGTTTGTGTGAAACTTAGGCTGATTTGTGCTTTCAATAATTAACTTTACCATGCATCAGAATGAGTCAGTATAATTGCTTCATAACGACTTAAACGGTTGAGGCAGATGGCCACCCACTCAGAGCCTGGTTCTGCTCAAGGTTTCTACCCGTTTCCCATGCCACTGTCAGGTGCATGGGAAAGGTGCTTGCTAATAGTGGGTCACTGTAAATAATATTATAAACGGTACACTCTTAACGGCTCTATGAAAAGTGTCATGAGATAACTTTTGTAATGATTTGGTGCTATAGAAATAAAATTGAAGGTGATAAACGATCAGTCTCATTTATAGCCCTGCCCCATCTATACCAATGTCTTTGCCAAAAGATCTGAGCAAAGACATGCAACATTTCTGGCGTTACTATTTTGACTTTTCAACGATATATGGCACAATTTTCATGTCCACTACTTGCCAGAAACAACTAATGTGTTCAAATGTCAAATTTGTATTACTTTATGTCCAGGGTCTTATTTTGGTTGACTTCAACCATCTTCTGGGAATGTGATCGTTGAGATCACACGGCTGTAAGTGTTTGGACAGTGACACATTTTCTATTGTCTGTCTGTGTCCAGTGCATTGGATTTGATAGGAGGGCTTTTAGCTGCTCTCCCATCCATATTGAATGAACAATGTAGGAATCCTAACCTTGTATGTATAAAAATGGCTACGATCTCCCAAGATTTTAACAGTGCAGTAGGACCATGATAGGACAACAGTTCTAATGTTGTTCACCAAATCTGGATGTTAACATGCACAAATGTGAGCTGTAAGTCAGCACTTTACCCCCATAGTCATTGTTTCCCTTCGGGTCCAATGTTATGGAGTGTAGAGCAAAAACAATAGTAAATGTTTCACTGGCAAAATACTTTCATACTGCACTTTATTTCTAGCTATGGCTCCCTTTTACAGTAAGACAAGACATGATTGGTTGAAAAATAGCAAATGAAAGAATGAGCAAAAATCAGATATGTTGCCTTTTCTAGGTTAAAGCTGGAACCATGCAAACACATCACGCAACAGCCGAACGCTTACTGTAAGTCTCTGCCAATTGTTTTGGCAAATATCTTCAGAAAGCTCCATCCTCCACTTCCCAGGTAGAAGATCAGGATGGCCGGGAGAACCTGGTACCAAGGCAAGCCCACCAGCAGCCTCAACACAAACAGCAGGGCCGTGCAACACGCTAGACGAATCATCCTGAAAGACCATATAACATAAATATAGATACAGATGATCACTGCAGACTGGGGCAACTAATTACAAACATTTCAGACCAAACATGTGTTCAGTGGGAGAAAGGTTACATGTGGTTTGTGGTAAGCAAAAAAAAATAAAAATAAAAATAAAAAAAAAGGAGGGTATTCAAACCAAGCATGGAAGAATGTTATCTACTATGATTTTGTTTACACATCTGGTGCCCATTCTAATCCACTGACTCAGCTCTGGTACACTGCCAGCTTGTAATAAATGAGGAAGAGGTAGCACAAATGCAACCACTCATATACTGTATGGTGTCATACTGTATGGAATCTGCACATAAAACCAAATACACAAAAATATTGCTAATAAACTACAGGAGTTTTTTTTCCAGGTGGGAAGAAATCCTCAAGTTTTCTTTTTCTTCCAGCTGAATAAAACCCAAGGCTTGAGAGACCTTGGGGAAGCCCCAACATAAAAGCAAATGGTCTGTAGTAACAGCTGAAAGCAGCATGCCTTGGCGTTGGTGCTCAGTGCCACCGGATAGCTAGGAAGATGATCCTAAAACAGTAAAAGGATAGGTTTACATGACTGCTTATTATCTATTCATTAGCCAGCAGGATTGTTTAATAGCAGCGCAGCCCGTTTTCTAGAACCAAGATGCTGGCTAGATAATTATTGCTCCGTCTCTATGCTTGTGGCTGTAATGGTGATGGTGGCTGTTTCATAGCGATTCAACAAGCCTGCTGCTATTTAAAATATATCCCTACGCTCTGTGTTATAAAATACAGCTTGTTGCATGATGGGATTTGTCACACGGGAAGGGAAAGAAATGCATTAAGTGAGCAGGATACCAGCTACTTCAAAGTAAGAAAAAAGCTTCATCATTCGCTGCACCTACACCCGGAAATTTAAAACGCGCGCAGCATCATATTGCGGTAGTAGATAGGGAAATGATGGAGGGGTACAACCCACTGTACGCCTCGCTAACCGCGCCATGTGCGCGTTCAGGCTGGGCCTTCAATAGTAACCCAATTGGACCATATTTAACAGGCTACCCTGATGTTGGTTATCATGGTGACAGGCGCGCATGGGAAGCAGGATGCGCAGCGGGTTGCGCGCAAGGAAGCGGGTGGACAGCAGCACCCTCTTTTCAGGATGAGGGGGCATACTGACTATGCGGTCCACGTTCACATAAAATACCTTTCATGGACCGAGAGCTGCCTGATATTAAAGTGTCGAGCCACCTCTCGAGTCCCGTCGGTGGGTCGATCGCTCACAAGGTTGACAGAGGACAATAGTCCTACCGGGCAGGCTCTGTCCCTTTCTCCTAGGAAAGAATAACCGGACTCATTCGCGCAGTTGAGCATCGCGGGGGCGCATAGTCAATTTGGGCTGTGGCTGGGATGATCTTTTTTTTTTTTGCTTACATACCTTGCACCCCGTTAAAGCCGTCACAGCATGTAGGCCCTAGGTGCGCAGAAATCCCAGACGTGAAAATCGTTGTGTGCGATTCCGCCTTGATCGGCTTATAGGCTAGCCTGGTCGCCCCCTCCGCTCCTCGCCGTTGCTCGCTTGGCTTGACAGAGGCTCACAGAAACGAATAGAGACGGACACACACGCACCGGGATCCCCTTCTGTTGTTAATACCACAACGAGCTGCTGCTCCTCTCCTCCGATGGGTCGGGCGTCAAATTTGCCTCGCTATGCGCATCGACTTTGACTCCGCGATCATCATCCGTTCATTGTCACAATCACTGATATCATTTCTGGGTTCATGGTAGTCTATAAGCTCGCTAGCAAGCGCAATTCAAATGACCTTATAATTTTCTTAGCACCGCCCGCCCACCGCCGTCAGAGTCCCATCAGTGTATCAGGAATAAGCGCTGACGGACGGGTGCCTCGGCCAATCGAGGATGGCGGCTTTTTTACACATCCCATCCGGCAGGGGCGGGGTTTGCGGCACTGGTGAAGAGGAAATGCGGTGCTCTCGCCGGTAGACAGCGAGGCCAGTACGCAGAGCAGTTTCCACCCGGTAGTGACAAAAAGGCCCGGGTGCTGAACTGTTGAACCGTGTGGCGTAAAATGAGCCTGCCTCTGCCTGTAGAGTCCGCCTCACCACATCCATTCATTACTCAGCCTCAAGCTTTAAATAAGCTGTTAATTGAAGGGACCCGAGGAGGAGCGAGCAGTGAGGAAGGGCAGGGTGTAAAACAATACCCGGGACTCTACTACCATGTGTCAAGATGCATAATGAAAACTAAAACCCGTTAGTAGTTAGCCTGCAGGTTTTCACGCAACATCAGCTGATTGCTTGAAATGAAAAGCTCTAGCATAACGGTTGGAAAACTGCAGTCGTCTTTGCACTCACAAGCAATACATGTGAAAATGCAGTAGATGTGGCTTACATATACTCAACTATGTGGACTGTAGAACCAGACAGCAATGAAAGGTGATTATACTTATGTCAAGTAATGTGCTAATCCTACATTTTTTATATTACTGATTACTGCAACTTTAACAATAATTTATGGGCCTACTTTTACACAAGGAGGCTCACACTTTACACAGAGTTCATCACATCAATGTATCATGTAATTAAACATTGCATAATCAGGGAAGATTACAAAAGATCTAATTTAACAAACTGCTGTAGGTTAAAAGAGGTTGCTTCCCACGTGGTCTCGAGAGCTCAAATTAATGGAGACACAAATTTAACAAATATGCCACATCTGCAGCAATACCAAAGATATCGGACAAAGGTGACAGTTTTACACCACACTGACCCCAGTATGTGTGACTGGATGACTGAATAAGTGATGCAAAGATCAGGATATGAAAATAGAGTGAGCTTTGAGACACACACACACACACACACACACACACACACACACACAGATTCATTAGGGACACGTTATCAGTGGTTCTCAGACAGATATGGGCACACCCAGTATATTATGCCACTGGTCTGAATTTTGGTCCCGCGGAGACAGACAGGAAACTGTGAGTGAGTATGACAGTTGCCTAATATCCTTTTTCCTTTACTAAAATGTTAATAGTAATATTAATATGACCCTAAGAGGGATGTTATCACACTAAGTTGTCTTATGAGGGGTTGAATTCAACAGACAGGCCAGGTTATAAAAGCGGAGTCTATCAAAATGAACTACATACATGGTTTTAACAGTTACGCTTTCTCTTACAAGTGGTTGGAGGGTGTGAAATGAATATCAGAAATTGACTGTGTATTGTGATACCTTCTAACATTGTTTACATTCCACAAAATAAATGCTGTCAACTATGGTGTATCTGTAATTCTTTCTAGTGGGTTCAGAAGTCACAATGCAAATGGGAACATACGGTCTGTGGTGGTCTGAGTGCCTTATTTATTACATGTTATCTTCAGCATTCAAAATGTTATACTCAGAGCTGGTGTATTTTATTTTACACTTCAAGTTGACACTCCTGCATTCCCTCTTTTCTGTACATAAACAAAAGTCGGGTAATAACTGACATATGCAGCCATTAAGCATAACCTTTTCCAAACTCAATTTAGATAAGCTCAAATGTAAAAAACAAGCAAGTGCTTTCAAAGTTGGTAGTGTCTCAATAGCATTTATATTTTTGCAGCAATTTTTAACCATACGTTTTCTGCCACAGCCTTAGGTTAACAGTTTGTATAGATATTACTGTTTCAAATATCAGGCCTGCCTGCTGGACTAACACTGTTTTCCTCATATGATACGCATTGCTGTAAATTAAATCTCTCTGTGTAAAGAGGTGAAAACAGAATAAAAAAAAAAAAAAGTGCTCCCCTCTGTCTGAAGGAGCCAGTTGAGGTCAACATAGTTCCTCCAGTCACATCTTTAGTCTAAACCCATCCTCCTATCAATAAGTTCTTTCCTTTTTTCCTTTGTGCCCCTCTCCCCTTGGTCTAAGTTACCATTCTCACCGCTGTATTTTCATACATTTTTTCCCAGTCTTTTTTCTTTCAGTCATCAAGTTCCAGACCAAAGTGGCTGTAGAGATCTCGTGTGGTGGTCCCCCTCAGAGCAGCTGTAAGACATGGAAAAGTGGGGGTTAGGCCCCTTCAGCAGATTACAGGCTGAACTCACTCTAGTCTACTTTTCAAACAATCCTCAAAACACTGAACAGGCCAAGATCACAGTACCAAACAAATTAATCACTTTCAACACAAGGCTTGAGTGAAAAGATGTTATACAGTAGCTTTAGCAGCATCAGTATCAATTTCATTGCAGCTTAAAATATATAATCAGCCTTTTCCCCTCATATTAACCCTGTTGAATCATAACTTACAGTAGATCATGTAACATATTTTACGAAGCCCTACTCGATAGATCTCTATCTAGCCTCTCTTACATCACACAGAACCAAGCCATGCTGAGCTGAACCAGGCTGAGATATATCATTGTTTTGACATGGTTTTGTCAATCACCTTTGCCTGGGGGGCAACACCCAAGACTCCACAATTATTATTACATGTTATGTTACAGTACACAATTTTGAATTGAAGTATCCTTTCAAAATTGCACTTATCCTGTCTGGTTTCCTTCACAGCCATTTCAGTTAAGAAAGTACTATACCTGAGTACTGTTGACTATAAACAATAGAATCTTTCAGGAACAATTAACAATGAATAATGAATAATCGTTACATAAAACAATGATAAACTATGTTTTAGGGCAACTTTCTCATAGCTAAACTCCTAGGTAATAATTAAATCTCTTTTAAGTGGTGAAATGTGAAGATTTTAGACTATATAGGCAAAAAATATATCTATATTTCTAAGGAGGAGGATGTGACAATGACTTCAAACTCGACTGATAGACAGACGGACATGGTGAGAGACAAAAGGACAGTTGTCTTTAGGAGGGTACTGTAGGCCATCTCCTCTCGTCTCTTCTCTCACTCTACAGCCTGCCCACTACCTCCTCCCTCTCAGAATAACAGTACACAACAGCAACTCAGTGTTTAAGTATAGGCTCTTTGTGAAAGTGTGTGTTTGAGAGAAAGGGAGAGAGACAGCAGGAAGGGGTAAACAGCGTGTGTTTCTGTTTGACAGTTTGTGTCAGTGTATGCATGTGTCTACACGTGTTTGCTGAGATTGTACTGTATGAGTGTGTGTGTGTGTGTGTTTGTATCTAAGTGATGTGAAAGACCCCCATTGTGTCAGAGGGGAAACGCTACCTCCATTCACTAAGAGGTCATTATCATCCTGACTCTTCACTGTACTGAGAGAGAATTTAAAGAGATAGCAAGCGTTTAGCTAACCATATGGAGAGATTGCCACGTTTTTTCCCCCTACAAACTGCAGAAGTGGGAAATAAGTGATAGTAGAGCATCTGAGTAATGTATAACTATCCATGTTGTTACTGTGTTCATATTCCACAAAGATCAGGAGATTTAAAAGGGGATGTCCAGATTTTATTTAACACCACACACACATAAATGTGCATGTAAACGTAGGTAAAAGGTTATGTTTGTTATGATACATACACAGACCATAATGTCACTTGGCTGTGATTCACCAAAACTTCCCTAACAGTGTGAAATGCTTGAACTTCTCCACACTTCCTGAACCTCATGCAGTTGCAGCACATGCACAGAAATATGTTTTTAAGACGCAGGCACACGCTTTACCCCATTGTAGCCTATTTCCTCATACCGGTGTGTCTCCCAGACATACAGTAAATTCATCAGTACTTGATGGTTTTAGACAGTGCTATGCAGTGCCAACACCAATCTCTGAGAAAGAACAGTGATCGGGTCTACAGCCTGCACTCGTTGTATAAGCTGCTATCAGTAATAGCACATAGCATAGGTATGGCAATTTCAACTAAACTAAATTAATATTTCTGTCATCACATGATGTATGACAACAATGCTGAGCAATATTTGCCAACATATGACTGGACACAGAAAATCAAAGGACGGCTGGTTTATTTAAGCTGGATGAGGTGGGAACCTAAATATAACCAAGATTGTCCAAATAACAGAAGCACTTCAACCAGTGACATTTTTCTGTGTGTGTTAATCTAACATAATCAGTGTTGTGTAAATACTGTCTGAAGTCAATTGAAAGGCTAGCCCTGGCTTTTGATTCAGCCTTCAGAGGGAAACAGAGACGCCGCTCTGTTGCCCTCTGGTGGCTGGCTGTACTGTGGAGCAACTTCCATCCATCCCTTGTCAACCACTTATCCTGCGTACAGGGTTGCGGGGGGCTGGATGCTATCCCAGCTGACATCGGGCGAAAGGCGGGGTACACCCTGGACAGGTCGCCAATCCATCGCAGGGCATGGATCAATAAACTGTAATCATACCATTATGTTTAGTTTCCTTCAAGCTATTGTTGCATTACCTAATCAGATGAGAGCTTACTGAAATGTTTCCTTCGATGATAGATAGATGGCATGACTGCATATCGATTGTATGAGCACACTCATTTTCTCCACAGACAGCTTTCTTAGCTCTAATATTTTAATGGTGCATACCGATCAACATACCTGGTATAGATTGTGACAACAACAACAACTTTATATGACCGTGTGGTAAATCTGATGTTGTCTTTGTTTGAGTATTAACAGTCATCTCAGTCACTGAAGTTGTTTTTAACCTCTGTGCAGTTTGTTTTCTTTGGTGCAAATCACATCAGAAAAAGACATTGTTTTATGTCCGTTTCAGTAAATTAATTTAAAGCTAATTTGTTGCTGTGCCTGCAGCAACCTTGCATGACAAAACACCTTACACCTGCCATATTTGGGATCCAGTCTAGTGCTAGTTGGCGAACAACCTTTAGTGGTTATTAGTGTTGTAATTAGGGCCGCAACTAACGATTATTTTCATTAATGTGTTGAT